ACCTCTTTTTGGCGCCTGAGTCTTTTGCCCAAGTCGAGTTCGTTGCCTGAGTCTTTTGTTTATCGACCTTTTGTTTTTGGTAGGGTATTTCCCCAATTTCTCTTTGATAGTCAACGAGTCATTAGCTTGAGTTTCCCGAAAAGTTTATTGAGCTTCTCTGATATATTAGGGTTTTAAAGCGCATACATGGCGTATGAGTAATATTAATCGGCAGCTACCAAATATTACTCATACGCCATGTGGTCTTTTGGAAGGTAATTGCACTAGCATACTGAGCGTGATCTGTCTTAAAATTGAATGTTGTTGCCTGAGTCTTTAGTTTAGCTACGTAAACTCTTACAGCACGCCACGAGTCATTAGCAAGAGGATCGCCGTGAGTTTATGGCGCTTATCTAATCTGGAGTCAGAAAAAGCGAACACTATTTTACACTATTTATTGATTAATTATTGCCCCTCATGTGTTTTATATATGCTCCTGCCCAGATCGTGAGTGGCGCTAATTGCATAATCATCACCGCTATATACGATTTGCATGCAATCCTCTCTCCCTCTCTCTATATCGGTTTTATGGCTACTGTTGCTACTGGCTGCTTCTTAACACTCGTCTGACTTAACACATTCGTAACAATTGCGCAGCAGCCTTGCGTATTGAATACTAATTAACACACAGTATAGTAGTGTGTGTGTGGAGACGTCACAGGTGCCATCTTTCGGCCAGCGATTGATTATGAAATGCTCTTGGCTGGTGTTTTACAACGGCACTTACCTTACCCAACACAATATGTTTGGTGTCTCTGTTTTTGGGGCCGGGTAAAATGTGCCAATGGCATGACACCAATTTCCACTTAATTTGGCTATGGACAGGCCACAAAGACGAGCGCAGCTGTTTGACCCACTTGGGGGATGGGTGGCTCTACTCGTGGTGGTGGGAAAGTCAAATGGCTTTAACCTTTCGGCTTGTGCAAACAATCTGTAATTGCAAATGGTAGCAATTCAAAATAATTGAGCAAATCTATTTTAATTCCAACTCTGGGCAAGAAGACAGCCACCAAATCGCTGTGGAAACTGGGAGTGGGAGTCGACTATAAAGGCGAGGAGGGGCCATCAATTTTGTGGCTGCTTTTTGTGGTGGTGATTGTCTTTTGATTGCCTCTGCCTAAATAAATGGGAAAATGCCACGGTTAACCAGGGAAAAGTTGGAAAATTAACAAGAGATGTTTACGATCGTTTTGAGGTGAAAATAAAAGGATATAATAGGATTTTCAAAGATAAAAATCATCTTTGATTTATATTAATAATCTATTGAGCAATAATAAACACGATTTCTTTTCGTGTAATATAATAAAGAAGAAACCTTTGAACTTTGTGATTAAGCGTAAAGCCTTTTGTTATTTTTGTCTTCAAGATCCATTGATATGCTTGTTAATTTCTTTTTATTTTGTGAAACATCAAAGAAGACACATTTGTTAACAATTGTTCAAAGAGCATTGTTATTGGGGGTTTTTACATTTCCCAGCCGCAAGATGAAAGAGATTTCTTCTCTTATGGTTTACTTAATTTATTAACCAAGCGGCTGTTTGCCTCCTCCATAATTTAAGCATTCAACAAAATGCATAAAAATTTCCTAGAGCCGGAGGAGGAGCTGCAGCAGCTTGTGTCGCATTTATTTAATGCGCAACTCATCAAGCCGCAACGAAAATGACAACTTTTGGCTAAGCCATTGTTGGATGTGTCTTCAGTTTCAACTTCAACTTCAGCTTCAACTTCATCTTCAGCTGATGATGCTGCTCTTGCAGGCTATTTGCCATTGTCTTTGAGGAGAATTCATTTGCCTGAATTATGCGTGGCCAGAGATGGGGGTAAAAGTTTTCCACATTTTGTGACGCATAATCGAGTCGCCGAAAAGCAGCATCTCCCATCTGCATACGCAATGGAAAATGCCAAATGCAACTGCAACTGCAACCAGTTGCCAGTTGATGATGCTGAATGCAGCTATGCAGCTGCGGTGGTGCATTTAAAATGCATTTATCTCAATTACGAGCTGAAAAGCAACAAAAATCGCTTGTTTGCAGCGAAATGAAAACGAAACGAAATGGAATGAACGACGCATTGTTTTTTTGTGGCAGAAAAACAAAAACTTTCACTGCCAGCGCAAAACTAAAACAAAAGCAATCAAGTTGCGGGCGGGAACGGATGAAAGGGTTTCGTTCCTCCATTCCGCCCAAAAAATAAAACCAAGAAAAGTGTAATATATATAAAACAAAAAGACTCAACAAAACAAGAGAGAAGATAAGTCCCAAGCAGAGTATTGTTAATTAAAACAAATAAACTGAAAGCAGGCAGAGCAACAAATACGATTGTAAATTATGCATGGCGTGGAGAGCGAATGAAAGAGAAATGGCCGAAAGCCAGTTTCCGGCGTCCTTCACTCAAGGCCGTTTCGAAATGGTAGTGGCACGCAGACGCATTGTTGCAGCTGCCCAATGATGGTGATGATGATAATGCAGCTGCTGCTAATGATGACAATGACGATGATGATGATGATGATGATGATGATGGGGCAGCTGTCAGCAGAGTGCAGGCTTATGTAACCCGATCCATGTCCGATCCCGGATTAGCCCGGCCGGACTCCATGTAAATTGAGTCTTGGCCAGCGTCAGTTGCATCACGTTGCGTGGAAAGGAAAAGATAAAAAGAAAAACAACCAAAATAAATATATATATTATTTTGCCAGCTGGCAAAACCAGTTGGTTCGCCAAAAAAATAATAAAAAAACACACAATATTTCATAACCAAAAACCATCTATACATAAAGTGTTTGCAAAATGTGTTAACTATTATGCAAAAGCTGTCGAAGCGCCGAGTCACGTTTCCACAGCCTCCAGCAGAGCCTCCTCAGAGCAGCGCTTCTCTGCCACTTCCTAGTTCCCCCTGATTGCATTGCCAAAACAAAATCAAGTTCAAAATGTCAAGTTTGAGGCAAGCAGTTAAAGGAAGATATCGACGGAGCGGCGTACTTGCAACTTGCAACAAAAATCGCCAAAGCAGCTGCTCCGCTGGTGCTTGAACTCGAAATGAAAGTGAAAAGACGACGAAGCCGGCTGCAACGCTACCGAGCAGAGCGAAAAAAACAAAACAAAAAAAAACAGCGAAGAAAAAAGCTTACAAAAAAAGCAAAACTCTTACTTTCCAGGCAATTGTTTTTGCTGCTCGGCTGACCAGGCATTCAGTAGATACTTTGGCTTTTTGCGGGTTCTGAGCCAGGTCGACTTAAGAAGTCACTTTTCTTTGCCTCAAATTAAATTTAATGAAATTTTTTAGCCTGAAATTCCTTGAAAATCATTTATAGACTCTTATCTAAGTTGTATTTGCCAATTTTCATTGACTCTTTTTTAAGCATTCGTGTTAATATTCAACATTTTGCAAGACATACTTTCCTAATTAATCAATTAAACGTTGATGTGCTAATTAAAAGCTTTTTTTAAGGCAATAACTTTAGAGTGGATTGAGCCAGGGGAATGGCTTGGCCATTTAAAGCTTTACATTTAAATAAATTTCCACATTTCGAAAGGATTATATATGTTTATAAGCTCATATAATAGACAACTTTCAGTGTACTTTTAAAGATTTAGTTTGACTTAAAGGAATATTAATAAAGGGAAATAGAAAAGCAGATAAAAATCTATTATTATATCTTAAAATACCAAGTTATTGGCTTTTTAATGAGGTTAATACTGAATTTAGACAGCTTAATATTGTTATAAATTAAGTAAAGAGTTTTATTAAGAAAGACAGCATTATTTGGGTCAGGAAACGTACTATTAGGATTTCTAGTAAATGAGACTTTAACTAACTAAAATACCATCTAAATGTAAAGAACTTTCTCATAAAACCCATATGCCTTAGGGGTCAAGTTAGGGTACTGAACAACACCTCCTATTTGCTTTTGCATTTTCAACACATTCATTCATTTCCTTCTATCGTTAAACGTAAAATGTAAAAACAAGGCAAACAAAAGCAACAAAATGCGCAGGAAAAAAGTAAAAAGGGAAATTAAATAAAAACAGCGTCGGCATGATGACGGTTTTTCCAGTTTTCCCAGATGCTTTTATCGCGGCGACAGGTTTCCCAAAAAAACTACAACAAAATATATAAAAATAAAGCTTGTGACCGAGGAAACGCGTGTTGCAGTTGCAAGTTTGCGACGGGTTTTTTTTCGCTTAAATTGATGATTTTAAATTAATTTGCGGCGGTATTAATGGGAATTTAATGCGCAAAGCGGAGATTACCGCTGTCCATTTGGGCAATGCATTTATGAGCTTCACTCCCACACAAGCCCGACACTTGAATTAGCCGAAAACGGGTTTCTCAACACACAGGAAAATAATGTATCTGTTTATATCTGTTGCAGGCAATTAAGGAAGTAATTCGTGGCCAGAGTCGCGATGCAGTGCAACATGCGAGCACATGAAATCGCTTGAAACGTGGAACGTGGTTCGTGGCTGTTAAAGCGTCAACAGCAATTGCCATAATTGCCATTGGAGCAGCGCACACAGTCCAATAACCGCTGGACCAGCAGCAGCTTGAAGCAGCAGAAGCAGCAGCTTGCGTCCGTCACCCAAGTTCCAATCCAATCCCATCCCGGCGCCGCACCCGGTCCGATCCTATCCAATCCAATCCAAACCGATCCAATCCGATCCAAACGAAACCCGCCACACGAGCCATCGGCGGCAGGCACTGCAAATCAAGCTCAATTGCGCCGGAAAATCCCCAAACACCGACGAACCAAAGACCAGTCCCCGTACCCGTACCCGTACCCAGACCCAGGCCAAGACCAAGCCGAGACCAGGCCAAAAACCAGCAGTGGGGAGAGATCAATGAACGCGGCACGCAGCTGACAGCATTCGGTATCCACTTTTCAGTATCCAAGCTCAGCGGAGCGTAGGAAAAGCGAAGCAGCTCAGCGGCTCAGCGGCTTGGGCGGCCATCGTTCAAGTTCAGGCGGCGCCAAGCAGGAAGTGGAGCGGCTGCACCTTAATTGGAGCCAGAGCCAGTGTCATTACCACCGACCAAAACGCCACTCACTCACGCGCCGCTCATCCTGCTCGATGTAAGATGTTAGTGGCCAGCACACGCAACACCTGGAGATGGAGCCAACTCACGTGGGCCATTAATCTGCTCGCCTATTGCTCTGTAGCCAGTGCCAGCGCCTCCTCCAGCGCCACACCCACGACACTAACGACAGCTGCTCTGCTGACGGGTCACCAGTTGCTGCCCTGGCAAACGGCAGCGGCGGCGGCCACCTCCTCCTCACCCTACACCACGCCCGCCACTGCCCGGAATCTGTATGCTCCCTATCAGAGCTTCAGTCAGCAGGATGACATTAGCTTCAAGGATGTGCGTCAGCGTAGCGATGGCACAGTTTTTCAATCCTTTGGTTCCTACCGCACCGCCCGGCAAATGAATGGAGGAGCTCAGCGTCGCTCGGACTCTTCAGCCAATGTGGAGATCATACCAGCTCCCTCGGTGGAACTGCCCCAGAGTGAGCTGATCACGGTGCCCAAGCAACTGGTGCCCACGCTGCCGGAGAATGTCACGCGGCAAGGAAGGAGGCGCAACTACATGTATATACCACTTCAAGCGGGAGGAGATGCCTCTGGCGGTTCAGGAGCTCTCCTGCAGCTACGTCCTAGCAGGAATGCCACTTTGTCGGCTCTGGGACCACCTGCCGATGGTGTGGCAGCGGTGGCTCATGAGTTTGCCGCCGAACTGGCCACCCAGGGAAGTCCAGAGCAGCAACCTCTTGAACTAGAACTCGATCCAGAGCGCACGGAGCGTAGTGATCTCTTGGCCTCGGCCAGCTCCACGGATAAGCTGGAGTATGCAGAGCCGCCGGAGAACACCAGTCGCCGGGTGGGCTTCCAGTTTCCCAGTTACAGCCTGAAACCGGCCAGTCCTTTCCATCCGCAGGCCTATCGCGAGGATAATCCCATCTTCGGGGAGGCCGGAAGCGGTGGTGGCTATGAGCCGCAGCCTTACAGCGAGGATGCGGCAGCAATTCCACCACCCACGCAATACGAGCAGCATGAGACGCGGCACACTCGCCAGTTGTACTTTGACACGGATTCGGCATCATCCTCCAGCTTTGAGTTTCCCGGTTTGGTTAGCAATACCAAGCCCCATGGCCTCAAGATCTATCGCGATGATGTGACCAAGTTTGGTGATATTAATGGACCAATTACCGCTTTGCCTCAACAGAGGCCTCAGCGAGGATTCTACTTTGGGGATACGGAATTCCGGACAGGGCCACCGGCTCCTATACGTCAGTTTGGACCACAGAAGAACTTCCAGGAGTATGTGGCCCCGGCGAGTATCAGGGATCGAGGAAGAGTCGTTACTATCCATACAAGTCATCGCGTAGTCCACGAGTGGTCTTTCCCGCCAATGACAATGTGGGCACCACTGGACCCAGTGGCCCAGCAGGAGGCAGTGGACCCTCCGGCAATGGAGTTTACTTCAGCGATAATATAGCTTTCAGGTGAGTGTTTAACTTATTGATTAAATTAATATATTATAATATAATTCCCCTAAATAGAGACCAGAACTTTGGCATTAATGAGCTATCCGCTGTGCAGGATGTGCGCAATGACTATAGCCTGCAGGATTTGGATAGCGCCTCGGAGGCCACCAGCAGTCCACAGTCGGCCAGTACGTTCAAGGAGAAAGGTAAGTGCCTCAGATCCTTCGATCTATTCGCACCCGAACCCTTGGTCCCCGCATTTTGGTAGGGCTTAGGAAGGGGCTACAGTCAGCTGCTGGGACACTGCTTGCACTAGGCCATGTAACCCCACCCCCCAGAAACCAGAACGCAGAACGATAATCCTCGATAGCCACACCACAAAACATACACACACCCAGAATCCCCACCCACCCCCACCCAGATTGCAACTCGTTTCAAACTCCACCCAAAACCATTCCGACAGTCGACATCACAACGGACACGGAGTGCCAGCATCGCGGCGGCACCTGCGAGTTCTTTCTGGGCTGCTGGCTCTCCGGCGGCCTCATTCAGGGCACCTGCGACGGACTCCTGCGAGGCTGTTGCCATCGCACGGCCAAGTCGGCCAATCTGGGCAGCTCGGACTTCATCGGCAATGCCGTAGATCTAACCGATCTGCCGCAAAAGAACTTTGGACCGGTCAACAATGAACCCAGTGAGTGTGTGTGGCAGCCTCAGTTCGAATATCGAATGCAAGCCAAATACAAATTACAAAATTACAAAATTACAAAAATTCCAAACAACCAACAAACAACTCCAAGCACGTGCACACTAAACCGAAAAAAATTATACAAATATTTATAAGTAAAAAATAAAAATCGTTCAACAAAATAGTTGAGAAATAATTTGCATGCCACCTTCTCTAACAATTTACGTATAGTTTGTAGTTCGTTTTGTATTTTTGATAGTTGGTTGTTATGTTATGTAGCTATGCACTCGTAATTCGCATTTTTGTTATTGTTACACTCTTGGGTAGTTTTCAGTGCCTAATTAAGCCAACTATTTGGATATATAGACTGGGACTGGGACTGTGAGAGAGAGAGATGTGTATGGATGCCTATAACACACGCTACTAAACCAGCCGCAAAGGAGGCAAGACTGGAAAGAAAGGAGAAATACACATATATATATATATATATAAATATATATATATATTTGTATATTTAGGTTTAATTGCCCGGCATGAGCATGTTAATTACCACAGCACGCTAATGATAATTAAGCCATATATTACACATAGCTTAACGGCATTATGCTCCATGTCCAACACGATGGACGACTGGACCCGCCAAAGACCCCTCGAAACTCCAACTCCAACTCCAACTTCGACTCTGACCCCAAAAATCCCATCCCAAAAATCCCAAACTAGACCGAGACGAAAACCCGAGACCAGAGACTAGAAAGCTGAGCTCCAACCCGGCAGCGGCTGCTTGTTTGCCTAATCGCTTGCTTTGTGTGGTCAACCCGTTGTTAATGCTTCACTAATCCAAACCAAACCCAGAGAAACCTCCTTTTCCTTCCGCCCCCCCCCAAGTGGCCAGTGTCCAGTGGGATGTATCCAAGACTAATTCCGTTTCTTTTGATGCTTCTTACAGGCTGCGGCATTTCGCTGGCCAAGCAGACTGCCCAGCGCCGCATTGTGGGTGGCGATGATGCCGGCTTTGGTTCCTTCCCTTGGCAGGCGTACATCCGGATTGGTTCCTCCAGGTGAGTGCCTCCTTGTGGGGTTAGAGGGATCTTCTTGATTAACTTAATTATGTTTTTCTCTAGGTGCGGTGGCTCGTTGATCTCGCGTCGCCATGTGGTCACCGCTGGTCACTGTGTGGCTAGGGCCACTCCCCGCCAGGTGCATGTCACCTTGGGTGACTATGTTATCAACTCGGCCGTGGAGCCGTTGCCCGCCTATACCTTTGGTGTCCGCCGGATCGATGTTCATCCTTACTTCAAGTTTACGCCGCAGGCAGATCGCTTTGACATCTCAGTGCTGACGCTGGAACGTACTGTGCACTTTATGCCACATATAGGTGGGTTTTCCTTTTGGAATAATTATTAAATTACTAATTCTCTTAATATTTAACTGCAGCTCCCATCTGTTTGCCGGAGAAGAACGAGGACTTTCTGGGCAAGTTTGGCTGGGCGGCTGGTTGGGGAGCTTTGAATCCTGGCTCAAGGCTGCGTCCCAAGACACTGCAGGCTGTGGATGTGCCGGTGATTGAGAACAGGATCTGTGAACGTTGGCATCGGCAGAACGGCATCAATGTGGTGATCTACCAGGAGATGCTGTGCGCAGGCTATCGCAATGGAGGCAAGGACTCGTGCCAAGGTGATTCGGGAGGTCCACTGATGCATGATAAGAATGGTCGCTGGTACTTGATAGGTAAGATTTACTAATGAGGAAACTTTCTAAATCAATACAAATTATAATAAATCCTCTATCAATCCTTTTCAGGTGTGGTTTCTGCCGGCTACTCTTGTGCCTCTCGGGGTCAGCCTGGAATCTATCACAGTGTTAGCAAGACCGTCGACTGGGTGTCCTACGTCGTTGGACTGACGATGAACATTTAGGCAAGGAACAGGGACAGGATCGTTACGGAATGGCTTATTTATTCTCATCCATCAGCATTCGCACCTGCCTGCTAAGTGGGCCACAGATTGTTTTGTACATAACTCACTTCATTCTGCTTCTGATTCGGAACTCAGCGCCGATTTAATTTATGGTTACAACCAACCAGAGACATCTATATATATATATAAATAATAATTGTAATTGAACAAATTAGCGCAGTACAATTTAGAGTTTAGGGTTGGCTGTGTGCGTCTGCAAGACGTGCACGTGTGCGATATTATTGCAAGAAAAGAAAGGAATACTAACTAACCTAAATTAAATTAATTATAACTGATAATTACGGTCTAATTTACTTAGTCATATGCGCTGTTATGTAATTTTAAAAACTATTTATGAACTACATATTTCGTGTGTAAATAAATTATATGAAAAATGTTGAAATGAAGTTAGAAAAACACGTCGAAGAACGTTTATTAACCAAAACAAACGTCTTGAAAAATTTATGAAGCCATCAATTTCTGCAGTTACTTGGTCTTCTCTGTGCAGAGGATGTTGCTAGTTAGTTATTGTTTGAGTGGCAGACGCGGCAGATAGAGCTGCTGATAGGGAATCCCAGCTGCAGGCCATGCACCCTCGGCATCCTGGTAGAAGACACTTCCTCCTACTCCGCCCAAAGCCCTGTCCTTCAACTGCTGCTCCATTACACGGAATAGGGTGAAAACCTCGTGATAGATCTTGTAGTAAATTACTATTTGAAAGAGGCTTAATAATTGATATGAAAAAATGAAAATATATTCTTGTGACTCACCCAAAACAAGTGTAAACACCAAGAGACACATTAAAAATGTAGAAAGGTCAATAAACAAGCCTGCGGTCACATAGAAAACACCCAAATATAGAGCAAAGCCAAAGCTAACGCCATGACAGATCAACCAGGGATACATTAAGCCACTTGAGTCCTTTAAAAGGATATTTAGAACAGATTTTATAATATGTTAAGAGAAGTAAACACTTACCCGGGCGATACCAATGAGCAGCAGCATACTGGCGCCCATGTTGATCAACGACAGCCCGTACGCCAAGGAGCTAAAGATATCCAACACTGTGTGTGACAAGGATCGATCATCCATCAATTAATCCAAGGATCTACCTCCAGGATAAACTCTGTACAACTTACACTTGATCGTTAACTGCTGCTCCGACACTGGGACCAGATTGAAGGGCCATTGTGCGAACAGCAGCTCAATGTCCGGCTGCAGATGCATGGTCAGAACCGAGCTGAAGAGGAAGACGCTCGAGAAGATCACACTCAGCCAGCCCATGATTATGACATTGTACTTGAGATTCTGGCATTGCACATACGAAATGCCAGAGGTCATGGCCAAGGGGACCGGGCTACTACGCGGACGCAATGCATCATGGGATCCCATGATCACCGTTCGTTGGGAGTCAACTTAACGTACGACTTGCCGGGCTCTGCCGGTTGTTAGTTTCCGATTTTGTTATTTTCCGGTGTCTGTGTTGTGTTCTCGGTTACAAACAACGATGTACTGAGAGTAGAGCTTCTAGGAGCCAGGTGACACTAGGAAGAGGGAGAGATCAAAGCCAACTTTGATGGGATATTACAAAGCAAACCTCGTTCCAGAAGAGAGTCGAAACGAAAGCACATTAATATCTGTCCGATTAGTCTTGCCAATCAATAGAATATATAATATCTCCCGCAAAGTGTTACTAATTAGTTCTCACTTTTACCCACCGAGAACCGAATGAGTGGTATTTAGTAACACTGCTTAATATGCTAATCCCACCGCGTAAGTCCGCCCAGTCGGCGACAAATTAGAAAGTTACATAAATAAATGTGTGGACCCCATTTCTCCTTTTGTGCGAATGGATTCGTTGTTATGGCCTAACCCAAAAAGAGAGAAGAACTGTTCCCATTCCGTGGCCAGATGCCAGCGGTTGTGTTGCAATTATGTCGCATAAAATAATTATAACAGACTGGGAGAAGAACATTTCCTGCGCCGCTGGCGGCGTCATCAGCATTTCGTAATAATTAGTGAAGATGAGGAAGATCATCATCAGAGCATCAGCAGCAGCAGCTGAAGCTGAAGCTGAAGCTGAAGAAGGGGCAGCAAACCCGAACCCGAACCCCAAACAAGAACCAAGATCAACCTGTTGGCTGCGTGATGTTAGTTTGTGCTTGGCCAGCGGCGCGTGCGGTTGTCTCCAACTTTTACCAATCTACCAGCTTGCATCTTCTCCCAGAGAAGAACTTCTCCGTCTCGGGTCTCAGTTCCCAGTTCTCTGTTCTCTATTGAAAATGTGTGAAACTCTGGAAAACTGACTCAAAACTGTGCCAATTCTCTGACATTTCCCGCTGGCACAGTTCCCATTATGATTGTTATATAAAAAATCCATTAGCCAGCGACCCCCAGAACTTGTTTGCCTATCAAGGACACAGATCTCTTTCACCGGTGAGTTGGTGGTGAGTCATCTTGAGCAGACAGGCCCATAAACAGCGGCGGCTTCTAGTAAAAGTGGAGCAGAGCAATAATAGGAAATGTAAGAAGAAAAGAGCCGGGGCCAGCTTAAAAGTGAATAAGAAACTGTCATGCTTTCATTGGCAACAAAAGCGCCATTACTATTTAGTCCATTTCAATGGGCGTGTTGAAGTGATCCTCCGTGCAAATTGTGACCCGGAAACTAAAGAGCAAGTTACGCCAAGATGCAGTTTGTTTTTTGGTTGATTGTAATCATTCTAATCGTCTGCCATTTAAGCCAGAGTCAAGCCAGTGAGTAATAATTAAAATAATTTATTATAGAAGTACCAAGAGATTTTCCTTTAGACATTCTCAATACTTTGCTGGGTGTGCCGGCGGAGTGCGTCCACCAGAGTGGCGTCTGGCCCTGTAAGCTGAGCTTTTCCTGCTGGCTGCAAGGTGGCAAGCATGCCAAAGGCTGTGGCAGCAACAAGTGGCTCTTCAGCTGCTGTGTCGCCGAGCCGCATCATCAGCACCTGCTGCACCACCAGAGTCAGCTGCAATCATCTTCCCCGCTGGCCAATCTTGTGGATTATGGCAAGCTCAAGTTAAATCTTAACTTGAATGGTCTGCCCAAGCGCATCATGCTGCGCAGGCGCGATGACAATGAACTGCTGAATCTCAAGGTAAGTGGAGCCTAATTGAGTCATTTCACAGGTGCTCGGAGTTTATTTAATTGGAAAATGATCGAGAAGTAGCAGGTGCCATTTCTGGGCTTGGTATTTCTTTTATGTTTCCGGCAAACTTTTCTAAACCTTTTCTATATCTAAAAATAATAAAATAAATAAATTCCAGCCCGAGTGTGGAGTCCCGCGAACGGCTCAGAATACCCTACAGAAACGCATTATTGGCGGCCGTCCTGCTCAGTTTGCCGAGTATCCGTGGCAGGCCCACATCCGGATTGCGGAGTATCAGTGCGGTGGAGTGCTCATATCGGCCAATATGGTGGCCACCGCTGCTCACTGCATCCAGCAAGCCCAGCTAGCGGATATCACCGTCTATCTGGGTGAACTGGACACCCAGGATCTGGGCCACATTCACGAGCCGCTGCCTGTGGAGAAGCACAGTGTTCTGCAGAAGATTATCCATCCGCGTTTTAACTTCCGCATGACTCAGCCGGATCGTTATGATCTGGCCCTGCTGAAGTTGGCCCAGCCAACGGCCTTCACGGAGCACATCCTGCCCATCTGTCTGCCCCAGTATCCCATCCGGTTGATTGGACGCAAGGGTCTGATTGCTGGCTGGGGCAAGACGGAGGCCCATATGGGCCATGCGGGCACTAATATGCTGCAGGTGGCCAGTGTTCCCATCATAAGTGAGTCTCTAAGATGTAATTCTTGTCAGGCATTCACTAATCTAGATTCTAGCCACCTTGGACTGCATCCGCTGGCACGAGAGCAAGCAGATTAATGTGGAGATCAAGGCGGAGATGTTCTGTGCCGGTCACTCTGATGGTCATATGGATGCCTGTCTGGGTGAGTATTTAAGACACTTTATTTCAAGACAAAGTAAAAAACTTTATTCGGGTTGAGGATAGTTTAAAGTTACCTTACAACGTTAGTTAATAAATATTTACTTTAATAACCTTTTATCTCAACCCTTTTAGTTAATAGTTTTTGTTTTACTGAAGTAATTAAATGTCTTAGAGAGAAACTTAGTTTTGACCATAACAGTCAAAGGTTACTTTAAGCATAAGATGTTGGTAACAAAAAAGTTATGAACCCAACAAGGCATACTTTTAGGCTTTAGCCTTGTCTGTTATATCAATATAAAAATTGCTTTTTAAGTTAGATTTAATATCAAGAATTGTCACATTCTTTAGAATAGCAACCATTTTTAAATTAATATTTGATGAATTTCAATATCTAAAGCTTAAAGAAATAAGAAAGGACGATCAGAAGAAAAATATTGCATATAATGCATATTATTATTATTAACTTGTAATCAAAAAGTATGTATACAAAATAGACATTCTAAATTATGTCCTTGAAAGAACTTTTTAAGAACATACCATTTATATGGCTTATATTAGTATGAACACCTAAAAACTGGAGCCTGAAAAGGGATTAGTGAATACTTTTATGGGCAACTCCTTAAACTATTTCTAATTCAATTTAAACCCAATGAATTATATCTTATTTATTGTTGCTAATTTACTTCTTTATTTAGCTTAAATTTGATAAAAGTATAGATTACTTAAGCTACGATTTATCCCTTCCAGGTGATTCCGGTGGTCCACTGGTGGTCAAGGAGCGCGGACGCTTTGTGCTGGTGGGCATAACCAGTGCGGGCTTTGGCTGTGGAGTGGATCATCAGCCAGGTGGGCTACCTATAAGTTTCCTAATCCTCCAGCATTTAAAGTATGATTATCCCTTGACTAGGCATCTATCACAATGTTCAGAAGACTGTGAGGTGGATCCAGGACGTGGTGGCGCGCAACGAATCGTAGCAAATAAAATGTGTTCCCTCCCAAAGTCCCACCCATCTCAATGTGCAACCCATCTCATTAGCTTACCACTCGTAGCATTATTAGGCAATGGAAAGATGTGCAATCCGCCGCAAAACTCACAATATTTATTAGATTTAATAAACATAACAATTACAATTAGCTAATTGTGCAGTGGGCCTGGGCTTTTAGGGGGGGATCGACCTTGAAACGCCACCACCCACCGCTGCTGGCAAAAAATAAAAAGTGAAAAGCAAGACAATCGAAACGCCTTGTTTTTAGCTGGATTATGTCACTGCCTCTGGCCTATTTGGTAGAGTGCCACAAATGGCACAATCCCTAACTGCTGGCGGTAATTTGTACATTAGGCACATTATACTCGGGCCGAAAACCTGGTTGCCCAATTGGTTGCGCAGTGCAATTTCTGTCGGGGATTGCTGCACTGCAGCAACAAAGTACATAAGTACTATCTATATGTATACAAAGTATAGGCCTCTGTCCGGTGGCATTGAAATCGGAAATGTGTGTCATTGATAGCCATGGTGGTGGCCAATAATTATTGACCAGCAATTGGCTGGTTAATTGGAAAACTTCTCTTCTCGTACGCGCAAATGCCACGCTTGAGATGAAACCCGTTGGCGGTTTTCCTGCTGCAATTTGTATGGCAATTGTTGGTTTTGCTAAAACACCAATTTGTGTGAGGGAAAACGCGACTTCCTCTTTGTTTCGGTGTTTATGTTTGTCAAGGGAGAGAGAGAGAAAGAGAGAGAGGAGCAAAGAAATTGCAGATTAGTCATGGCGGCAATTACGAGGTTTATACGTTATAAAGTCATGAAGAGCAGATAAAACGTGATTTTATAGGCACTCTTCCATAAAAGAGGTAGAGATTAATGTGTGGGCAAATAAATAGAATAAATGAATGAATGAATTACTTAACATTGTTTACAAGTATGTGAGAATTTGTCTTATCTTGCCTTAAAAGATATATTTCCAAACAAAATATTGTTAAGCTTTCTTTTATTAACTATTTAATAAAAATTTAATAAGCGACAATGGAAACAATTACGAACCAAAGCCTTCTTAACTCAAGAATTTACTTAAGTTCTTTTCAGATTGAAATTTATTTGATTTTTTAATAGCATAAATTAAGCCAAAAATCCAATTTTATTATTTAAAGATATAACGAAGCTGTGATAGATTTTAGAAGATAAGTAATCTAAATTTCTGAAAACAAAGATTAATATCTTGAATGCATGTCTTCCTTGGAAATAAATTCCCATTTTGAGTGCTCAAAACTCACCAAATTCATAAAATCTAAGCCATAAACTGAGTAAACTTGGCCCGCAGCAGCGGCAGCAGCAACATGCAATTGCCAGTTGAGCGACAAAACTCGTTGCCTTGGCCACTCTTCTTCTTTTCACTTTCGTTTTCAGTGCCCGCATCTCTTTCGCTCTCTCTCTGTCCGACTGCCCTCCCTCCATCTCTCTTGCTCCACTGTCGCCATCTCTGTCTACGCTCTTTGGTGACTATTACTCAATAGTCGCGCACTCCGCTCCAAGTTGCCGTGTGTGTTGATGGCATTTTGATTTTGAATTTGTCAGCCGACCGCCAACTGTTTATTAAGTGTTTCGACGCGGCGGCAAACTGTTCGCGAACAGCGGCTGCATTTGGCAGGAAAACAAAAAAAAAAAAAACACGAAACGAAACGGGAAAAGAAGAGACCGAAACCGAAACCGAAATCAAAACCAAAGTGTAAAATATTAAAGATACTCTGAGAAATATTACCAAAGAAAAGAGACAAAGAGTGGAGAAAATTATAAATTTAATACATTTAAACTGGGTCGGGACTGCTATGCAAACGAGGTGTGATTATTCAATCAAAAACTCGCGCCGCTACGTGAATTAAGTGAAACACAATTGCAGAAATCACAGTGACAGCAGCCGCCAAGTGTAAACACAACAGCAGCACGACGAAAGTATTGCAAAATGCGAAATCCAGCACTGGCAGCAGCGCGGCAACTGCTCATGTTGCTTGCAACAGTTGCCACCGTTGCCACCATTGCCTCTGCTGCCCAAAGCAATTACAATTCGGTTTACAACGAAGTAATCACGCCGGAGCTTAAACAGGCCATTGATAAGGAGCTGCCCAAGGAGGCCAAGTTCTTCGATGAGCTGGACTGTGAGTAGCCCTAAATAAGCCCCATTCCCATCAATATCTGCAGTCAAGTCAAATCGAGTTCGTTGCCTAAGTCTTTCGTTTCGCCTTGCACAATTTGCATATTAGTTAACACGCCATGCTTAACCTTGATCTTCGCTGGATGTCGATTGGGTGTCAAGTTCGTACAACCTATTTTCCAACTGGGGGGAAAAAGAAAATATAACCGGGATGAAGAGTTTCTCCCTTCCCTTTCGCAAGCGAAAGTTTTGGCATTCCATTTATGTGTGTTCTTTGGATCGCCCTTCATTTATCTTCCGCTTAATTGGGACTTTCCAAGAGAAAGAGACACGAAAACCAATTAGCCGCCGCTAAAGGGTGATTACACATCAACATGCAGATTTATCTCATCTCAGGGCCGGGTCATAAACGAAAGCCCCGCATTTCTTTCCGAAATGTTTCTGTGAATGACCAACGAGTGAAATAATATCTATGATAAATCCGAGCAACAATCGCCCGTCGAATGAAGGCGGATTGTGGCTGCACAAGTTCAATGGCAGCGGATATATGTAATACGAGTATAAGAAAAAGCAAAAGTGTTTCCAGATACAGATACAGATACACACAGACAGATAGACAGGAAAATCAACTGCAATTAACTTCAATTGCACACTCGCAACCAGCATTGGAAAGTGTTAGCCGCAACAGCGTCGCCATGAGTCGGCCATTTTCCCCCAAAAAAGATTATAGATTATTTGGCCTGGCCTTTTATGTAAGCAAAAACCTTGGCCAAAAAAAATAAGTACCGAACGATAAACAAAATAAAACAAAACAAAGCCCAATTGAAGTCGAGCAAATCGATGGCCTGGCAGGCAACATGTAGCCAGCCGCAAATGTATTGGCAACATTGCTTGGTAACAAGTCTTGGCAACAACGCCTCTCTTTTTAAAGTTGCTCCGCTAGTGAAATGGCTAAAAGCGGCGGCCCGATCTTTCACGTCTTCGGACTCGGCTTCCAGCTTGCCAGCTCTCGGCTCTTTGGCTTGGCGGCCGCAAAAGCTTGGCTTAGTTCTGAGCCGATTTTCCCGACGCGCGGTCGCTTTTTTCATTTACTCGCTCCCTCGACAGCTCGTCAGCTACGGCAGCTCGCGGTGTGTGTGTGCGCATGCGTAAAGAAAGATAATTCAGAAGCAGCGCAAAAGTGAAGATTTTCATTTGTTTTCGGGCCAGAGCTGCGCATGCGTAACAGCGAGTCAATGAAAATAAAAGTGAAATCCTTGTGAATCAGTGGCAGGATTGCATAGCGGCAAGATTTACTTATTCAGTGGAAAATAGCAAAGCTGTCATAAGTCCGAAAGCGAAAGTGCAACTACCCCGTGGAAAGTGAAAGTCCACTCGAAAGTCCTCTCTGCAGTTGGCTGACCATGACGCTGCCAAGGCACTCCAAGGACACCTGGCTGCGGCTGGTGTTGCTAGGAGTACTGGTCACGTTTCTGGCTCTTAGAGAAGCCCATGGTCTGGGCTATCCCAGTGCCCAGCAGGAGCACGACATGCTCATCCTGGACGCCCTGTCGCGGCGCAGTGGAACCGGATACTATGGCGAGAATAGCGTGATGGAGATGCTTTCCCGAAGTACTACTTAGTTCCTTCGACCAATTTGACCTGACTCAGACCTCCTCATCCCCCTTTCCCCCACCCCCTCTGCTTTGCCCCTTAGCTCCAGACTAATCTCTGTCTTTGCAGTGATACCGCAATCATGCCGCTTTCGTGGCCACAAATTCGAGTGCGGCCTGTCCATCTCATGTGTCTTGGGCGGCGGCAAGCCGCTGGATCTCTGCTCCGGCGGCATGATCTGGTCGTGTTGCGTGGACAAAGATCTCGATGCGGAGGAGAGTCCGCATGCAGCTCCGGTCAACAACACGAGTGAGTATCGCTTCAACCTCTTCCCCTATCCATGATACCGAAAAAAAAAACAAAAACCAGGCGAATGGTTTATTCTGAAAGACATTTCGCCGTCTCCTGCTTTTCCCGCTCCCGATACCCTACGAATCGCAAATTGCTGCGCTTCGAATTATGCAACTTGGATTCGTATAATAGAGCAATAAATTAGCTTGCATTTCGAAAATGACAACAAATTGCTCTCTGCACACAAGCACATAGACATGGGTCTGGGCAAAGTGTAGAAAAAACAAGTAAATATCGTGGAAAGCTATCCCGAGGGAAAGCAAGAAGTTTAATCTTAAATTGTGGGGTTTTTCCAACTTATAAATAAAGTAAGAAAATATTTTAAAAACTTCTGAGCTCAGTAAATTCTTAGAACTTTGAGTATGGCATATGTAATAGTTAAAATATCAAAGGAAACTTCGGGAAACCTTAAAGTCATATCTAAATCATAACTAAGTCAAAAATGCATTAATTTCAATTCGAAAAGCGTTCCAATGTTAGTTTTTATTAGGTTAACAAATCTGCATACTGCATTTTTACTATTTTGAGAATTTGAAATGTTTTCCAAATTTTGACAATTTTAACAATTTTCATAAAGTTTTAAATTTTGAAAAAATTTCTAACATTTATTTTTTAACCGGAGATGGCTTGATCGACTTGGCTTTTAATGCTGATCAATAATATATATGATTTATGGGGTCGGAAATGAGTTTTTCACCCCATTTCAAGCTTCTGACTAGAATTTTAGTAGCCTTCAACGGTATACAAAAAATCCATTACTATATAAAAAAGGAATTATAGAAGCATACAATTTCATTCACATTCATTGATTTTCATTTAAGCAATAACAAGAGATTTCGCTTAAATAAAGAAGCAACATGACATCAACAATACCAATATAATTTAATAATAACTTTTTATAGTTGTACATATTTAAGCTTTAGAATGAGTAATATATGTTTTAGATAGTGGCTTCGGCTTATTTTCAAATACTAATTCTTCATAATTTATATAGTTTCCTTTGGTAAAATCCACCAAAACTAATCAATTCAAGCATATATTCCCTTGTCCGTTCACATTCCTAGCGGCTTCAGCCGTCTTAGCTTGTTTTGTTGGATCAATTGAGTGGCCATCAAGTGCATTGGCTATAACGTAATCGCAATCAATTACCAATTTCGGCAATATTTGCAGCAAGAATATATACCCAAGAGAAGATACATATATACTTATTATGCCACACACGCATCAATTTGGCCAACTGAGTTTTGTGTTTATTTAGTTGCCGAGTGTGATTTATTTTTTTTGTTTCTGTTTCGGGTTTTCCCTCTTCAGCTGTTCCGCAGCCATTTTGTTGTGCTCTGTTTAGTTTTCTAGATTTCTGACTTCTTTTTCGACGGGCCATGTTACAAGCAGCAAAAGCATAAAAGCAACCTGAACAATAACAATGCATTACAACATGTTATGAATAATTCTTAGTGGAAAATTTTTCGTTTTCCCCCTCTCCTGTCCTCTTTCACTCCCGCAACTCGAACGCACATCAATCTCTGGCTCCGTCAACCTTTTCTTTTACCGCAATTCAACTTAATTTTGAGAGTTTTTTTCCCCCCTAAAGTTTTGGGCTAACCATTTCCTTGAAGCCCATTAAGAAGCGGGTTCTGTGGGCTTTCTTTGCCCGCTTGCCAGTCGTGTGTAAAGTTTTCCCAAGACGTCTGGCGACAATGATAAAGCCAAAAAACAACAAAAACAACAAAAACAACAAAATAAAACCCGAAATAAGCAAAACCCACTTGCGGAAATAAACGAAGGTGAACGTTTTCGCATTTAAAAGTGAAATTTTTGGTTTTCTTTCTTTGTTTCAATCCGTCTGAGCCCCACGATGGTGGTGTGCTTTTATTATTTTGTTTGCTTTCAAATGTGGGAAAAATCACAGAGCCAAAGAGTTACGGCATAGTCGCAGTCCCCCCAAAAAGTGTTAATCAAGTCATGACGCCGTTCTGTGTCTCCCCCGAAATGGCTTTTGGATTGGTTTGAATTACGTGCGAATCGGTCGGCCGGCCAAAAGTGTCTCTCGGTCTGTTGTCTTAATGCCCCAACTGGCCACTGTGTTGGCCATCTTCTGCTGACATAACTGGAGTCGAGTCTGGGGGTATTTTTCCTTTGTTTTTTTTTTGTTATGACTACCAGTTTAGTTGGGGGGAAAGTCTGGCAGTAAAGTGACCTCTGAGCTGTCAGCAAAGTATTTCACAATAGGATAATGGACAAGAAGAAAAAATTGTAGAGAGGGTATGTTAAGGAGCATACTTCTAGAAGAGTAAAAGGTCTTAAAGAATACTCATCTTTCAAGTCAGACTTAGGTTAAGCATAGATTTATCCCAACCAGACAGATCTTGTCCTTGCTGGGGTCCAGTGGCTGGCATTATCCTGAATCCCCATTCTCACACACAGGTGACATAATACACTTGCATGACATTTATCCTGACCTGTCGATAAATGCCAACAAGCCGCAACACCATCTGCACCACCACAGTGGCAACGGCCTGTCAGCGGCCTCATCCACCACATCAACTGCTTCCTCCTCGGCACGCCCGGCCTATCCCAGCTATGGTCACTACAGCACCAAGAGACCGACATTGTTCAGCGGCTCCAATCCCTATAAGCCAGGATCCTCCAGCCGTCCCTCGTCAGCAACTGCTTCCAACTTAAATAGCTGGGAACATGAGTCTGGCGGTCATGCCATCAATGGAATCACCAATCATCTGGACAGCTTCTTTGATGCGGATTCACCACCATCGTTGGATTCAGCCGGAGTTGGCTCGGGACCACCGCCCCATGAACCATTGCCCAATGCCCAGGCCTTTGCGGTGGGGAATGTCCTGGATCTGAATGCCGGCGAGGCGGCGGATGAGTACCAGAGTGGATACCATGATGCCAGTTATCGTCCAGTGCCGGGTACAAAGCAATCTCACACTCTCTCTCTCTCTCCTCTGTTTGGCACCACTGCAATTGATTTTCCTCTTAGCTGCACCACTATCACTTACACTGTCACCACTCACTTGGATTTTTCTGGATTCTCTAGCTCTTTCTGTATTTAATTTTAAGGATCTATGTGGGGTTTCTGTAATAATGAGATTCTTTCTCCTTTCCAGGCTGCGGTGAGGTCTACACTCGTTCCAATCGCATTGTGGGCGGACACTCTACTGGTTTCGGGTCACATCCCTGGCAGGTGGCCCTGATCAAGTCTGGTTTCCTCACCAGAAAGCTCAGTTGCGGTGGTGCTCTGATCTCCAATAGATGGGTGGTTACAGCTGCACATTGTGTGGCCACGTGAGTATCCTTTTTATATACGAAAGTTCCTTAAATGATTATAACTTTCGCTGTTTTGGTAGCACCACCAATTCCAATATGAAGATTCGCCTGGGCGAATGGGATGTCCGGGCGCAGGAGGAGCGTCTCAACCACGAGGAGTATGGCATCGAGCGCAAGGAGGTGCATCCCCACTATAATCCCGCCGACTTCAAGAACGATGTGGCTTTGATACGTCTGGACAGGAATGTGGTTTACAAGCAGCACATTATCCCCGTGTGCTTGCCACCGCCGGCTACCAAACTCACTGGCAAGATGGCCACCGTGGCGGGCTGGGGACGAACGCGTCATGGTCAGAGCACTGTACCCTCCGTGCTCCAGGAGGTGGATGTGGAGGTGATCTCCAACGATCGCTGTCAGCGCTGGTTCCGTGCGGCGGGCCGCCGAGAGGCCATCCATGATGTGAGTGATCCAATCAGATTATTTTCTATTCGGAATATTGATACCTTATCCCCTTTTAGGTGTTCCTGTGCGCCGGCTACAAGGAAGGCGGTCGAGACTCATGCCAAGGCGACAGCGGCGGGCCGCTTACCCTGACCATGGACGGTCGCAAGACGCTGATCGGTCTCGTGTCCTGGGGCATTGGATGCGGGCGGGAGCACTTACCCGGCGTCTACACAAACATTCAGCGCTTTGTGCCCTGGATCAACAAGGTGATGGCCAACGATAAGGCGTAGTCCACTGCATCGTCACCAGCATCATCATCAGCATCATCACTGACCCACAAAACCGGAAGACTGCAGTCACCGCTCGAGGAGTTCTGCAGTCGTGTGCGTCCGCTGCGGAGTTGGAGACGAAGCTCCCAGCCAGGCCATGTGATTCCTCTACGACTCGGGGTTGCTAGTGTGTAATTTATTGTATTTATTTTAACTTTATTCCACTCCAGGGGATCCATCCCCCAAAGCCCTTGAAACCAGCTCACTTTGGTTCATCCTTTTGGTCCTCGTTCGTTTCTCAATTGCATTCGAAGTATTCGGTTTAAGTTTTCAATATTTATTACACTGCTCGACGAAAAGATTCCTACATTTGAGAACCACTTACATCTACAGCATACATTCTTATTTATAATTTCAATAAAAAAAATAATGAAAAGGAGAAGAAAAGGTTTTGAATTTTATTAAATAATAACGTGATAAAAAAAAATTGTTTCTATCTTTTATTCCTAAAAAGATTCGCTTGTTGATGCTGATTAAGGATATAAATGATTTATTTGGTCGGATATGACTCCTTCACTTTCTTTTAAGCTTCCGACTGAGGGTTCAATACCACATTCATTTTCATATGCAACTTTTTTCGACAATTCAAAATTTAAAAAATTCATAACAAAGCCAAAAACTCATTAATTTCAATTCAGAAAACGCTCGTATGCTCATTTTTAGCAGGTTAATAGAACTGCATACTCCATTTAAAATATGAATTTTTGGCCGATTTTTGCAAATTTTTTTCCTTTTTTTTTAGAAAATGGGAAATTACTGCAAAAAAATTAATTTTGCCCGGAGATAGCTTGAAAGATTCGCCTTTTGATGCTGATCAAGAATATATATAATTTATAGGGTCGGAAACGACTCCTTCAGTTTCTTTTAAGCTTCCGACTGAAGGTGAAATACCATTTTTTAATCAATATTAACTATATTTTTCATGCAAATTTTTTCGACAAATCAAAATCTAAAAATCTCATAACTAAGTCAAAACTGCATTAAATTCAATTCGGAAAACGCTCGTATGTTCATTTTTAGCAGGTTAATAAAACTGCATACTCCATTTAAAATGTGAATTTTTTGCCGATTTTTGCAAATTTTAATGATGTAACCCCTTTCCTTTTTTTTCAGAAAATGGAAAATTCCTGAAAAAAATTTATTTTGCCCGGAGATAGCTAAAAAGATTCGCCGTTTGATGCTGATCAAGAATATATATAATTTATAGGGTCGGAAACAACTCCTTCACTTTCTTTTAAGCTTCCGACTGAAGGTGAAATACCATTTTTTAATCAATATTAATTATATTTTTCATGCAAATTTTTTCGACAAATCAAAATTTAAAAATCTCATAACTAAGTCAAAACTGCATTAAATTCAATTCGGAAAACGCTCGTATGTTCATTTTTAGCAGGTTAATAAAACTGTCTTAGATTTATGGTGTCGGCAACGACTCCTTCACTTTCTTTTAAGCTTCCGACTGAAGGTGAAATACCATTTTTTAATCAATATTAACTATATTTTTCATGCAAATTTTTTCGACAAATCAAAATCTAAAAATCTCATAACTAAGTCAAAACTGCATTAAATTCAATTCGGAAAACGCTCGTATGTTCATTTTTAGCAGGTTAATAAAACTGCATACTCCATTTAAAATGTGAATTTTTTGCCGATTTTTGCAAATTTTAATGATGTAACCCCTTTCCTTTTTTTTCAGAAAATGGAAAATTCCTGAAAAAAATTTATTTTGCCCGGAGATAGCTAAAAAGATTCGCCGTTTGATGCTGATCAAGAATATATATAATTTATAGGGTCGGAAACGACTCCTTCACTTTCTTTTAAGCTTCCGACTGAAGGTGAAATACCATTTTTTAATCAATATTAACTATATTTTTCATGCAAATTTTTTCGACAAATCAAAATTTAAAAATCTCATAACTAAGTCAAAACTGCATTAAATTCAATTCGGAAAACGCTCTTATGTTCATTTTTAGCAGGTTAATAAAACTGTCTTAAATTTATGGGGTCGGCAACGACTCCTTCACTTTCTTTTAAGCTTCCGACTGAAGGTGAAATACCATTTTTTAATCAATATTAACTATATTTTTCATGCAAATTTTTTCGACAAATCAAAATCTAAAAATCTCATAACTAAGTCAAAACTGCATTAAATTCAATTCGGAAAACGCTCGTATGTTCATTTTTAGCAGGTTAATAAAACTGCATACTCCATTTAAAATGTGAATTTTTGGCCAATTTTTGCAAATTTTAATGATGTAACCCCTTTCCTTTTTTTCAGAAAATGGGAAATTCCTGAAAAAAATTTATTTTGCCCGGAGATAGCTAAAAAGATTCGCCGTTTGATGCTGATCAAGAATATATATAATTTATAGGGTCGGAAACAACTCCTTCACTTTCTTTTAAGCTTCCGACTGAAGGTGAAATACCATTTTTTAATCAATATTAACTATATTTTTCATGCAAATTTTTTCGACAAATCAAAATTTAAAAATCTCATAACTAAGTCAAAACTGCATTAAATTCAATTCGGAAAACGCTCTTATGTTCATTTTTAGCAGGTTAATGTCATGGTCAGAGCACTGTACCCTCCGTGCTCCAGGAGGTGGATGTGGAGGTGATCTCCAACGATCGCTGTCAGCGCTGGTTCCGTGCGGCGGGCCGCCGAGAGGCCATCAATGATGTGAGTGATCCAATCAGATTATTTTCTATTCGGAATATTGATACCTTATCCCCTTTTAGGTGTTCCTGTGCGCCGGCTACAAGGAAGGCGGTCGAGACTCATGCCAAGGCGACAGCGGCGGGCCGCTTACCCTGACCATGGACGGTCGCAAGACGCTGATCGGTCTCGTGTCCTGGGGCATTGGATGCGGGCGGGAGCACTTACCCGGCGTCTACACAAACATTCAGCGCTTTGTGCCCTGGATCAACAAGGTGATGGCCAACGATAAGGCGTAGTCCACTGCATCGTCACCAGCATCATCATCAGCATCATCACTGACCCACAAAACCGGAAGACTGCAGTCACCGCTCGAGGAGTTCTGCAGTCGTGTGCGTCCGCTGCGGAGTTGGAGACGAAGCTCCCAGCCAGGCCATGTGATTCCTCTACGACTCGGGGTTGCTAGTGTGTAATTTATTGTATTTATTTTAACTTTATTCCACTCCAGGGGATCCATCCCCCAAAGCCCTTGAATCCAGCTCACTTTGGTTCATCCTTTTGGTCCTCGTTCGTTTCTCAATTGCATTCGAAGTATTCGGTTTAAGTTTTCAATATTTATTACACTGCTCGACGAAAAGATTCCTACATTTGAGAACCACTTACATCTACAGCATACATTCTTATTTATAATTTCAATAAAAAAAATAATGAAAAGGAGAAGAAAAGGTTTTGAATTTTATTAAATAATAACGTGATAAAAAAAATTGTTTCTATCTTTTATTCCTAAAAAGATTCGCTTGTTGATGCTGATTAAGGATATAAATGATTTATTTGGTCGGATATGACTCCTTCACTTTCTTTTAAGCTTCCGACTGAGGGTTCAATACCACATTCATTTTCATATGCAACTTTTTTCGACAATTCAAAATTTAAAAAATTCATAACAAAGCCAAAAACTCATTAATTTCAATTCAGAAAACGCTCGTATGCTCATTTTTAGCAGGTTAATAGAACTGCATACTCCATTTAAAATATGAATTTTTGGCCGATTTTTGCAAATTTTTTTCCTTTTTTTTTAGAAAATGGGAAATTACTGCAAAAAAATTAATTTTGCCCGGAGATAGCTTGAAAGATTCGCCTTTTGATGCTGATCAAGAATATATATAATTTATAGGGTCGGAAACGACTCCTTCAGTTTCTTTTAAGCTTCCGACTGAAGGTGAAATACCATTTTTTAATCAATATTAACTATATTTTTCATGCAAATTTTTTCGACAAATCAAAATCTAAAAATCTCATAACTAAGTCAAAACTGCATTAAATTCAATTCGGAAAACGCTCGTATGTTCATTTTAGCAGGTTAATAAAACTGCATACTCCATTTAAAATGTGAATTTTTGCCGATTTTTGCAAATTTTAATGATGTAACCCCTTTCCTTTTTTTCAGAAAATGGAAAATTCCTGAAAAAAATTTATTTTGCCCGGAGATAGCTAAAAAGATTCGCCGTTTGATGCTGATCAAGAATATATATAATTTATAGGGTCGGAAACAACTCCTTCACTTTCTTTTAAGCTTCCGACTGAAGGTGAAATACCATTTTTTAATCAATATTAATTATATTTTTCATGCAAATTTTTCGACAAATCAAAATTTAAAAATCTCATAACTAAGTCAAAACTGCATTAAATTCAATTCGGAAAACGCTCGTATGTTCATTTTTAGCAGGTTAATAAAACTGTCTTAGATTTATGGTGTCGGCAACGACTCCTTCACTTTCTTTTAAGCTTCCGACTGAAGGTGAAATACCATTTTTTAATCAATATTAACTATATTTTTCATGCAAATTTTTTCGACAAATCAAAATCTAAAAATCTCATAACTAAGTCAAAACTGCATTAAATTCAATTCGGAAAACGCTCGTATGTTCATTTTTAGCAGGTTAATAAAACTGCATACTCCATTTAAAATGTGAATTTTTGGCCAATTTTTGCAAATTTTAATGATGTAACCCCTTTCCTTTTTTTTCAGAAAATGGGAAATTCCTGAAAAAAATTTATTTTGCCCGGAGATAGCTAAAAAGATTCGCCGTTTGATGCTGATCAAGAATATATATAATTTATAGGGTCGGAAACAACTCCTTCACTTTCTTTTAAGCTTCCGACTGAAGGTGAAATACCATTTTTTAATCAATATTAACTATATTTTTCATGCAAATTTTTTCGACAAATCAAAATTTAAAAATCTCATAACTAAGTCAAAACTGCATTAAATTCAATTCGGAAAACGCTCTTATGTTCATTTTTAGCAGGTTAATAAAACTATCTTAAATTTATGGGGTCGGCAACGACTCCTTCACTTTCTTTTAAGCTTCCGACTGAAGGTGAAATACCATTTTTTAATCAATATTAATTATATTTTCCATGCAAATTTTTTCGACAAATCAAAATTTAAAAATCTCATAACTAAGTCAAAACTGCATTAAATTCAATTCGGAAAACGCTCGTATGTTCATTTTTAGCAGGTTAATAAAACTGACTTTGATTTATGGTGTCGGCAACGACTCCTTCACTTTCTTTTAAGCTTCCGACTGAAGGTGAAATACCATTTTTCAATCAATATTAACTATATTTTTTCATACAAATTTTTACGACAAATCAAAATTTAAAAATCTCATAACTAAGTCAAAACTGCATTAAATTCAATTCGGAAAACGCTCGTATGTTCATTTTTAGCAGGTTAATAAAACTGTCTTTGATTTATGGGGTCGGCAACGACTCCTTCACTTTCTTTTAAGCTTCCGACAGAAGGTGAAATACCATTTTTCAATCAATATTAACTATATTTTTTCATACAAATTTTTACGACAAATCAAAATTTAAAAATCTCATAACTAAGTCAAAACTGGATTAAATTCAATTCGGAAAACGCTCTGATGTTCATTTTTAGCAGGTTAATAAAACTGTCTTTGATTTATGGGGTCGGCAACGACTCCTTCACTTTCTTTTAAGCTTCCGACAGAAGGTGAAATACCATTTTTCAATCAATATTAACTATATTTTTTCATACAAATTTTTACGACAAATCAAAATTTAAAAATCTCATAACTAAGTCAAAACTGGATTAAATTCAATTCGGAAAACGCTCTGATGTTCATTTTTAGCAGGTTAATAAAACTGCATACTCCATTTAAAATGTGAATTTTTTGCCGATTTTTGCAAATTTTAATGATGTAACCCCTTTCCTATTTTTCAGAAAATGGGAAATTCCTGAAAAAAATTTATTTTGCCCGGAGATAGCTAGAAAGATTCGCCGTTTGATGCTGATCAAGAATATATATAATTTATAGGGTCGGAAACGACTCCTTCACTTTCTTTTAAGCTTCCGACTGAAGGTGAAATACCATTTTTCAATCAATATTAACTATATTTTTCATACAAATTTTTACGACAAATCAAAATTTAAAAATCTCATAACTAAGTCAAAACTGCATTAAATTCAATTCGGAAAACGCTCGTATGTTCATTTTTAGCAGGTTAATAAAACTGTCTTTGATTTATGGGGTCGGCAACGACTCCTTCACTTTCTTTTAAGCTTCCGACAGAAGGTGAAATACCATTTTTTAATCAATATTAACTATATTTTTCATGCAAATTTTTTCGACAAATCAAAATTTAAAAATCTCATAACTAAGTCAAAACTGCATTAAATTCAATTCGGAAAACGCTCTTATGTTCATTTTTAGCAGGTTAATAAAACTGTCTTAAATTTATGGGGTCGGCAACGACTCCTTCACTTTCTTTAAGCTTCCGACTGAAGGTGAAATACCATTTTTAATCAATATTAACTATATTTTTCATGCAAATTTTTCGACAAATCAAAATCTAAAAATCTCATAACTAAGTCAAAACTGCATTAAATTCAATTCGGAAAACGCTCGTATGTTCATTTTTAGCAGGTTAATAAAACTGCATACTCCATTTAAAATGTGAATTTTTGGCCAATTTTTGCAAATTTTAATGATGTAACCCCTTTCCTTTTTTTCAGAAAATGGGAAATTCCTGAAAAAAATTTATTTTGCCCGGAGATAGCTAAAAAGATTCGCCGTTTGATGCTGATCAAGAATATATATAATTTATAGGGTCGGAAACAACTCCTTCACTTTCTTTTAAGCTTCCGACTGAAGGTGAAATACCATTTTTTAATCAATATTAACTATATTTTTCATGCAAATTTTTTCGACAAATCAAAATTTAAAAATCTCATAACTAAGTCAAAACTGCATTAAATTCAATTCGGAAAACGCTCGTATGTTCATTTTTAGCAGGTTAATGTCATGGTCAGAGCACTGTACCCTCCGTGCTCCAGGAGGTGGATGTGGAGGTGATCTCCAACGATCGCTGTCAGCGCTGGTTCCGTGCGGCGGGCCGCCGAGAGGCCATCAATGATGTGAGTGATCCAATCAGATTATTTTCTATTCGGAATATTGATACCTTATCCCTTTTAGGTGTTCCTGTGCGCCGGCTACAAGGAAGGCGTCGAGACTCATGCCAAGGCGACAGCGGCGGGCCGCTTACCCTGACCATGGACGGTCGCAAGACGCTGATCGGTCTCGTGTCCTGGGCATTGGATGCGGGCGGGAGCACTTACCCGGCGTCTACACAAACATTCAGCGCTTTGTGCCCTGGATCAACAAGGTGATGGCCAACGATAAGGCGTAGTCCACTGCATCGTCACCAGCATCATCATCAGCATCATCACTGACCCACAAAACCGGAAGACTGCAGTCACCGCTCGAGGAGTTCTGCAGTCGTGTGCGTCCGCTGCGGAGTTGGAGACGAAGCTCCCAGCCAGGCCATGTGATTCCTCTACGACTCGGGTTGCTAGTGTGTAATTTATTGTATTTATTTTAACTTTATTCCACTCCAGGGATCCATCCCCAAAGCCCTTGAAACCAGCTCACTTTGGTTCATCCTTTTGGTCCTCGTTCGTTTCTCAATTGCATTCGAAGTATTCGGTTTAAGTTTTCAATATTTATTACACTGCTCGACGAAAAGATTCCTACATTTGAGAACCACTTACATCTACAGCATACATTCTTATTTATAATTTCAATAAAAAAATAATGAAAAGGAGAAAAAAGGTTTGAATTTATTAAATAATAACGTGATAAAAAAAATTGTTTCTATCTTTATTCCTAAAAGATTCGCTTGTTGATGCTGATTAAGGATATAAATGATTTATTTGGTCGGATATGACTCCTTCACTTTCTTTTAAGCTTCCGACTGAGGGTTCAATACC